AGAAGCCTTATGTAAGTGGAAATCATGGAAAGTAAACAATTTGCGGGAAAGCAGAGCGTTTGCCAAGCGGGTCATGGTCCTGACAGCCTCCCACGGTGTGTCCCCCTGTGCCATCCCCAGGGTGTCAGGGCATATTTCCCACCCAATCACTCCCTCTGTCTGGCTCGCCGAAATAACTCCCTACAGGGGTGCTGCCTGGGAAAGGGGTTGGATTTTAACCTGGAAGCACCCCTCACCAGCACCACCAGCTCCTACGCCCTCCCCAGGCAAGGTAGGATGGCCAACGGGCCAGGATGGTGATGATGTGCTAGTGCTTCCCCTGACAACATCTCCTTCCAGAAGTCCATTTTGGCTCTCCCTCTGGTTTGGTCATTGCCCCACGTGCTTCGGCACCATAGGGTTGAAGGCATGCACATGGCTGTCCCCCAATGTAACCACGCCAAACCTCCCACCACTGAGCAGCAAAAGGCGGGCGAGGGGGAGAAGAAACACTCCTGCCAGTTTTATAATGTTTCGGCATAGGCTCTTTGGGAGGGAAAACCTCTGTCTTCACATGTTGGGTTTCAAAATGATCCAGCTTGGCTTGGGGAATGTTACACCCGGGTCTCAAAATTGCAAGAAATTCCCCCAGGGATACCATCCTCCGACTTGGAAGCAGTTTTACGCTGCCTATGTCTAGGGAAAAGAGGGTGGTAGGAATAGCCTGGAGAGCTGGGAGCCTCCTTTTTCTTAGAAAAAGTGAGGAACAGTCAATGTGTCATTTTCTGGCTTGGCAACTCAGCTGAAGTGCCCAAGGCAGCCGCCCTGTGCAGCCCAGAGGGGAGAGGAGCACCCGCGGGATGCAGTGCCACTGAGGACACAGGGATGGAGACGAGCCCCCCAGCCCCTCCCTGCTGTCCCCGAGGGCGTTCAGGAGCTGCTCCCAAGCCCTGGGTGCAGGAGAGGCTGGGCCATTGAACGCTTCTTGGAAAACAGACCCTGGCTCTGAGAAACAGGGCTTTTTCTTTGCCCCCCTGCAACTTTCAGCCCCTCCTCAGGCAGAGGATGAAGAAGGGACCAGGGTCAGAGGATGTCGTCAGGTCACTCTGCAACTCAGACAGGTAGGGATCAGCACTGACCTCCGTGCATATTCATACATTTTTTTCTCTCCACTTTCTGGGAATATCACAGTTGTTGTTTAGTCCAGGAAAAGCATGCTATTTGGGGCTTTTGGGCATCTCACAACACAGATGACAGGAAAAACGTGTGCCATACATGTGAAATCATATTCCACCCTGTAACGGCACCCGTTTTACGTGTTTTTTTCCTGGATTTACGCCTGTGACAGATGAGGCTGTTACCCTCACCCAAACTCACTTTCTCAAGGAACACTTGAAATCTATTTCCCCTTTTGCATATGACAGTATCACCGTTCAGCATGATTTCTACCTCCAAAGCACTCCTGCTCTCTGCAAGCTGCACACAAAGAGACTGTTCCCGGAGAATAACATTTAGCCCGCAGGTACTTTCTTAAGTGGGCTATTTGACCAGCTGGCATTTTGTGGAAATGACTGCTTGGAATCAGCAGAGATCAGCTCTTGATTTCTAATTCAGCTGCTGGACACATACGGTGCCTGCAAAACCTTTTTAGGTTTTGCAGAGCAAGGCAGAGCACAAGCACTGGGAGCAGGGCTGTGATGGACCCAGTATCTTCTGGGAAGTAATTAACCTCTGGTAGGATCAGACTCCTCCTCATGAGAAAAGCTTCCTGGACAAACTCCATCTTAGCATCGTCCTGATTGCTTAATGAAGGGAGTTATAGGGTAAACATTGCTACAGCATCCACTGTTTTGTATTGTTGCTAATGCCGTTAAAAAAAAACCCCAAACAAAACACAACACAAAGCAAAAGCAGCCAAAGGAAAGCAAATATAAACCATAATGTAAAATACAGCAAAAATGAGCTCTCTCTTGGAAAATGCACTAGGGAATATTTTTTGTTCTTTGCCTCTCCATCTAATGGCCGTGTTGGGCAGGAGGAGGACTCAACCTTCAAGAAGAAGATGGAGAGGAGCAGAATGGAGTGTGTCATACCCTTTGGTGGATGGCAGAGAAGGGATTTTCAAACAGAAACGTGGAAGGGAAGGAGAGCCGCCCCCCACCAGCAGGGAACTCTGCCCTTTCCCAGTGGATGTGGTTAAAGCACATCAGCACTTGTGGCAATAACCCAAGCACAAAACAGAGGATGGCAGAGACACTCCCATCTAATTCAAACCCCGAAACAAAGCACAAGGAGGGTCACGGATACCTCTGCCACTCTGGCGTCTGCTGGTGTACTACTACCCACCGTGAGACAGCAGAGCGCAGTTGAGCCCTTTCAGGGCAAGTGCCCAGGATTAACACAGTGTCACACGTCTTAACCAACCCAGGAAGAATTGGCTTTGAAGCTATTAAATCGAGCCTGCTTGGTAAGGTGACAACCTGGGGTCCCACAGGAGACTTGGGGTCACGCAGGTCTTGCACCACCCAGTGGGTGATCCGCCGTCCGGCACGGAATGAATTACAAATGTTATAGGGATAACATCTGCTCACAGGAGGCGGCCTTCTGGCCAGAGGACAGAAACTACCGCTGCACACCCCGTGTATTATCTGCTTTTACTGATGTCTCTGGCTAATTAGTAGTTAGGTTGTAATAGAAACATCACAGCAAAATCTGCTGCCAGGGAGGGACCAGCTTTTAACGTGCGCTCTGCAGGTCAGGGACTGTTTGCCCTCCAGCTCCCTATAAAAAAAGAACGTTTTCAGCAATGCCATAAAATGTTGAGGTGGATGCAGAGTGAATTATTTCGCTTTATAAGGTGGAGCAACTGTGCAGCATCAGTAGCTCCAAGGGACCTCGTACCTGGATGCCCTGGAGCTTCTTGCAAAGCAGAGCTGGGGCGTGTAGGACAGAGGGTCAAACTGGACCCCCAGGCTGTGTTTGCGGGGAGCTTCATGGGGGTGTTTGCTGGGCAACCCGCTCTCCCACAGACCTCAGCCAGGTCACCGAATCTCCCTGTCCTCAAAACGCTGCCGCTTAAATGGGATGCTAATTGCGTCCTCCATAATTGCACACCCGGCCCTGGGGGAGCTGCCTGTTACTGCCGCGGTGCCCCCCAGCTCGAGCTCAGCCAGGTCCCAGAGCAAGGAAAATTATTAGATCTTACATATTAATAAAAATGTTATCACCTCACTCTGCAGAGGAACTGCTTAAATTCGTTGCAAGCCCCATCATGCTGAGCATCTGCTCCAGAAAGGAAAGAAGTGAGTTGTTAAGGCAAGCGCTGCCCGTAAGGAAATTCATACTTTGGCTATGTATGTATGTACGGATGCCTTTGGAAGATCTCCCTCCCTGCATTTTAAAAAAGGGGTTCTAAAATGAAAGACAGAATGATTTTCACTCTAACGTGAAAGCCTTACCATGTTTCTCATCTCTTGGCCTGTATCCCCAATAACTTGTTACGCTCCAGCTCCAAAGCATGCAACAATCGCTGCGGTATTCAGGGATTGCTCATCCAAACTGGATGTTGCTCAAGACTCTTTGTACTGACGGGGTTTTACACAATACAAGTTTTCAGGAACACGAACGGCTTTGGAAACATGGGGCTTTGCTTGGGAGAACTTCGTTTTGAAGAGCAATTCCCAACTCCCCCACCATTTCACATCTATTTTTCCTCTGTGTATATCTGAGGCAGCTTAAGCAAAACCATCTCCAGCTCAATTAGCTTCTCCTCTCCCTCCCTGCTTTACCGCTCACCGGTTAGGGAGATCCTAGCTGAACACAGAGATCATTTCACATCTTGGCACGGGGCTGGCAACTTCCCTAAGCAAACACGCCGAAACCCCAGAGCGGGGCGAGGAGGCACGGGCGTAGCAGAGCAAACCTGTCCATCCAGGCAGGGCAGAGCACGGATCTCGGCTTCAGCAGTGCTCAGCTCTCCGGGGGCCCGGCGATGCTCACCAACGCATCCCCACCACCTGCTGCCAGCATCCCGTGGGGCGCCCTGGGTACCAAACACCCCGCACCGGCGACAGCGAGATGGACAGACTGCATTTGGCAGGGGGCAGGCGCAGGACCTGCCCGAACCCAAGCGACGCTTGGCTGGAATAGAGAAAAGCCGGGGGAACGGCACAGAAAAAGCAAGGCAGTATCTCTGGCGAGCAAAACAAGCTCAATATTTTCTTTTCCCAGCCCAGCCGTGCGGTAATGCAAACGACAGCAGGCTGCAGGAGGACGGTGTGCGCAGGGGGCTGAGCCTCCCCAGCGCCGCGCTGCGGACCAGAGCCCCGCTGCAGACACGTCCCTGCACGCACACCCATCCCCGCGGCCGCAAAATGAAACCCAAACACGTTTAGGGTGAGAGGACTGAGAAATACTACCCTGGGATGCACTCACGAGAAAGGGGTTCAGCCTGATGGGACAAGCATCTCGCCTGGCTTTTCCCCTGCGGTTTCTACCAGAGGACTGGGGGACAAGAGAAAAAGAGCTGTGCATAGAGGGGGAGGAATTTTTTTCAACTAGTCACGTGCTCGAGAACTGCATAACATGCAAAAGGGGTTAACTGGGCCTATTTCAAAGCATTTCAATACATTTTTAGCCCCCAAGGGCAGCTGACAGCAGTCCTTCAAGTGCTGAACACTGGAATCTGCCTCCGTGTTAGCAGCTGGCCTTGATTTTTTCCCCCCTCTTCACAAAAGGGAGGATTAAAGAGCTTGAAAACATTTGTTTTGAGCTACATGGGAAGGCCAACCATCTATAAAGCCCCACATTTGGTAAACGAGCGAGCAGAGCGAGAGGGGGCTGCCAGGCCCACCGGGGTCGGGCAGGCAAGCCCACGGCCCCGAGCAGTGGTCCCCAAGCTGCTGGTCCCCCCCGTAAGGGGGAAGACACCCGCTATGGCACTGACCCGGAGCACAAGGGACCCCATCGCACGGAGGAGGTCCTGGGGTGGCCTCTGGGTGACAGGAGCAGGGGTGATGTACCTGTTGCATTGGAGAGCGCGAGGGACTCCATGGAGCCACGGGGAGTCTGCTCGGTGGGCGTCAGGTCCTCCGTGAACTTGAGGGCGTTGATGGGGTGCCGGGTGCGGCACTGCGGCGTCGGCATCCCGCCTTCCTCTTCGTCTTCGTACTTGGGGACTTTCAGACTTCCTCTGGTCTCGGGGAAGCTCTGGTTGGACATGTCGCTGTAGCTCTCCTGCGAGCGAAGCCTCCCCGAGTAGTAGTCCTCTCTGCAGTCCTGGATGAAGCTGCCACCGTGGCCCTTCATCGCCAGCGAGGAGCTCCTCTTTGGGTTGCTGAAATGTTTCCCCCATAAATCTGGCTGTGAGCCCGGGACCTGGCTGGGGTTATAGGAGGTCCTTATGTTGCACTGGCTGAGAAGCTGCAAAGGGCTTTGGGACTGACTCTGCTCCATTTTGCTCCCGTAGTGATAGAGCTCGTCCCGGCTCCTCCACAAGTGCTCCCTGTTGAGGCTCGGTGTCTGGCTGGCCAGGCTCAGCAAATCCATCTGCAGGGACAGCGGGTCCACGTCGGTGGAGAGGCGGTTGGAGGTGACCTGCAGCTGGTTGCATGGGCTGCGCGCCCCCTCCTCGCTTTTCGCCTTGTTCTTGCCAATCTTGGCGCTGCGGCGGGACTCCTTGGCTCGTGCGCTCTGGAAAGCCGAGTCGGAGGAGTCAGAGCCGTTGGGGTCGTCGCCGACACTGCAGGCCCTGGAGCAGAAGATCTGCCCTTGCTTGGGCAGGAAGGGCCGTCCCAGCAGGGACTTCTTGCACTGCGCACAGCAGAAGCAGGTCTCGGTGGCATGCCAGTGCTGGCCATCATACGTCATCTGGCCCTGGTCGATACCTTGAGGGGGAAGACACACAGCGTCAGAGTCAGCCCACGTACATCACTTCACACTGCACTTAACACGTGCATCGCCTACGAGTGACACACACCCGAACTCGCTCTTGGAAGCCCTTCAGCAGGGTTTCTCCAACACGTGAAATTAAGACCAGTTCTAATTCTGAGGCTGAGAAAGTTGGGGTTGTTCAGCTCCAACAGGAGGCTCTGGGGACACCTTATAGCAGCCTTCCAGTATCTGAAGGGGGCCTACAAGAAAGCTGGAGAGGGACTTTTTACTAGGGCATGTAGTGATAGGATGAGGGGTAATGGCTTCAAACTGGAAGAAGGTAGATTTTGATTAGATATTAGGAAGAAATTTTTCACTCTGAGAGGGGTAAGGCATTGGAACAGGTTGCCCAGAGAAGCTGTGGAAGCTCCATCCCTGGAGGTGTTCAAGGCCAGGTTGGACGGGGCTTGGAGCAACCTGGTCTAGTGGGAAGTGTCCCTGCCCATGGCAGGGGGGCTGGAACGAGATGATCTTTAAGGTCCTTTGCAACCTAAACCATCCTATGATTCTATAATTCCTGGCAGGCTGCAGGCCTTTGCTCAGGAGTTACTCAATGCTGGGAAAGGCAGCAGAACCGAGCCTCAAGCTATTTCGTATTAAATGGGGATATTTCCGATCATAAAGCAAAGGAATGCAAGAAGTTCTCCATAAAGTCCTTGAAGTCAAAGCAGTAATATGCTGCCTATTTAAAAAACTAAAAACCCTCCAATTGAACCACAATGAGGAATTTGTGCTGCCTTGGTTAAGTGTGTAACAGAGCAGATGACTTCCCTGTCCTTTGCTGCTACCGTGGCTGCATCCTAACTTTATTTTGGCTACTGGGGCCCCTTTTCCCAAAGGGAGCAGAAAGAGCCATCCCCAGGGATCTGAGCGCACGCCCAGCCAAATTTCCCTTGTTGTCCCCACCAGCCCCCCTTGGGGTAAGTAAAGGAACTGATGCAGCGAGTCTGTCCCCGGCCAGCAAAACCCCGAGAGTTCCTGCTGCACACACACTGCTCTCGGTCAGAGCCGTGAGCAAAGCTCCCGAGGTTTCCATTATAACGTTTAGTCACTTGTTTAAGCTGCCGTTCATGGCAAAAGCCCCCGTTACCCGAGAAACTGCCGTGCATGGCGCAGGCTGGCCAGCACGGCGGGGTGCTGCGCCGCACGTGTGCGCCGCACGTGCTTGTACACCCGCCGCAGCCGTGTCGCTGGGGGGGCCGAATGCCGCCAGATAATTTACAAATGAACAGTACGTTAACGGTCCATTTTATTCCAAGCTAAATTTGCTCTAGCGTAATTGTTTGATTTTGGTTGTTTTTTTTTTTTTTCCTCCCCTTATAATGGGCGAAATGCTTTCAGATAGACTGGAGTGCTGCGCTTGTGGGCAAAAGAGAGACAAGACGGTGGGTGGGATTTTATCAGCTCCTTTTCCAATGCCCTGAAGCCACCACGCAGAGGAAGAGCACAGCCTCCTTACTCAACCCAACCCAAGCCTTGCAAGCCTGAAGCACGCACTCACCTCTGATTTATGTGGCTCTTGCGCACAAGGCTCAGTGACTACTACAAGCAACTTGCAGCAAAATGGCTGAGTCCTTCTTTCACAAGAAATGTGCAGATATGCACCAAAACAGGCATTTTGCCCCAAAAACCTGACAGTCGGCAGGCTCCGGACTGATGGACAGCGGGGAGGACAGCAGATGGGGGAAGCAGGAGAGAAAGGAGCGTGCAAGAAGCATTAACAGCTGCTTCTTCACCGCTCGGCAGCTGAGCTTTCGGGAAGGATGTGCTGCAGGTCACAGCAAACACGTCCTCCAAGTGCTTCGCTGAGGCCCTGAGTTTCGCCCCCCCCCTCCCCGTGCCATCTGGCCGCTGCACAAGACCAAAATGGTTTGGGTTTTGTTGTTTTTTTTTTTTTCATTCCCTGCAGCCTATGAAATATTTGAACATGTGAGCTCACCTCCACGGACAAAGAAAGGGCCGCCCGCCTGCCCGCGAGGGCGTGCAAATGCTCAGCCAAGTGGCAAACAGGATCGGAGAGAACAGCGAGGCAGCTTCCCAGCCCACCCAGCTTACCGCCCCCCGAGCGCTGACGGGACGGACAGCCCCCGGAATAAAACATGTTTTAAATCCCTGTTCTGGAAATGCAGATTGACTCTGATGCGTTACCTCTTTCTTTCTGGGAATATCTATCTGCAGGCTGATTAAAAAAGGCAAACAAAACCAATAATGATGCCTAATGAAGTAGCATCTTTCCTGTCAGTAGCTCATTAACTCATGAGGATCCCTTGGCAAGCTTGTTTGGGAAGAATCTGTGACTTGAAGAACTAGGCTGCTTATAGGAAAATGAGATTTAAAGGAAAAAAAGCTTGTGTTACATCAGGGCAGAGAAAGCTTTCACTAGTTGCAACAGCTCCTGAGGTTGCTCTCCGATAGTCCTCCCCTCTCCGACCCCACAAAGGGACAAGCAGTGCTCTAACCAAACAAATCACCGTGCCAGCTCCTTGGCAGGATGCGAGAGGGGCCCAAGCCTCTTCAGATGCCGCAGGGCCGGTGCAGACCCCAGCCGCAGGCAGTCCTGCCCGCAGCCCCCAAGTCATCGTCAAAGACTTAATGCGACATCTCTTGTTGCCAGAAACAACCCTCCAAGCGGAGGTTTGCCCCGCTCCCCTCCCACAGCACGCTCGCCCCGCGGCACGTACCGATGTGCTGGGCGCAGGTGTCGCAGTACTCGGCGTAGAGGGACTCGAAGCAGCTGCAGCAGTAGGGCCTGCCGTCCTTCATGATGTACCTCTGCCCCCCCAGCACCGTCTCGCATTCAAAGCAGCAGAAGTGCTTCATGTGCCAGTGCCGCCCTTCGGCCTCGGTGCATTCGTCGGCAAAAATGATCTGAGGGTGGAGGGGGGGGAACACAAATGTAGAGCGGAGTAGGTGACAGAGGGGACCTGGGATGTGGGCACCAACCTTTGCGTCGCCTGTCCGTGCACAGTGGCTGTGCCCCTTTGCTCATACAACCTCCAAATTTTACAGTTAACCCCCCAGTCCCACACGGGAAACTCCCGTGGTTTGGCTTGCGACAGGGACAGCCACCACTTCTTAAGGAACTCCATTAAAATGAAAATACCTCAATATTGTGCCAGCACACGGACTACAAAGCGTTAAGGCAGAGCTCACAGTAATGTGCTCGTAAGCACATCCATCAGCAGGAGGGGTCGATCAGGGTAATAAACACGCTTATATACAACCTATCGATCTGGTGGACTTTTGAAGAACAGAGCAGCCACTTACTAAAACACATTTACCCATCTCTGAAACAGGGACCCAAGTACAAAAGGTGAGCGAAAACACAAGGAGAAGTGGCAGCTCTCTGGAGGGGAGAGAAGACGGAGCTACCTGGCTCCTCACCATCGCCTCTACCCCAGCCCAGATGTTAGAAAATGTCTAAAATGTTTTCAGCAGAGCTTTCTGGCTGTCTCTGCTTCCCATCCCCAGCCCATCTCCGCTCCCAAAGCCAAGCCAGGGGAACAAGCAGCGGCCCAGCTCTGCTCCCCAGCTCTCTGCCCTGGCACAGCTCACGCCGAAAGCTTTTCCCCTGCAGCTCCTCTTACCCCCGAGTTACTCTTTCTCGCAATTAGTGCCGGATGTTTCAGGGGAAGAAGCGCGTGTTAAAGAAGGAGCTGAATGAAAGACGAGAATTTTCAAGGATAAGAAGTACATGAAAAAAATTTACTCGGCCTAAGCCACAAGGAAATAGGGCCAGTTGAATGGTTAGGAGTTGCTTTTTTCCTGGTAACATTACAAATTTAATTGGATACATATGTCAATGGTCTTTATATTTGAAGTGCATATAGCCTTGGCTATTTACTATTACACGCTTGCATAGATGGGACATGCTATTTTATAGTACATATGGTTTTCCACACTATGGTTTTCATAACTTTAAAAGCCAGAACAATTTCCTTCACCAGCCTTTTAAACAGAGATTGACACTTGAGAAACGCTCAGAGCAGACTCTGTATGGTTTTCTAGATTTGTTTTGTATTCCATTTGTTCAGCTTCCGATAACCCGTTAATCTCCTCTCTTAAAGCCTATTTCAGCTCGGCGTGTACTCAAACACTACCGCCTTGTAGCAAACACAGTGCTCAACCCACCACAGGCTTCTTCTGGGGAGACAGAGCAGAAGGGAGGACCACCACACACAAGTGGGGTAAAATCATACAGTACTGGGGGTGTCCCGTTACTGGAAATGCTCATGGAAAGCCCCCGCAGCTCCCTGTGTGTAGAGGAGGACCTATCTCAGAACGGTCCCAGGCAGACTGCAACTAAAAATCCCTGAGATGCTCACGAAACCCCAGGGAAAGCTTGCGTGAAGCCCTTGGCAAAGCCAAACCATCGCATTTCGTGTGCGCGCCCCCGTGCAGAGGGCCAGGGCGGATGGAGGGGAAACACCACCCACTTGGCAAGGGAAACCCTCTCGTGCCATCCCTGCGGGCAGCGCCCGTGGCAGCAGCCGGGCCGAGCTGGCTCTTACCTCGTCGCAGGCCGCGCAGCGGGGCTTGAGGCACTCGGCGTGGTGCCTGCCGCAGTAGATCTTCCCGTCTTGGTAGAAGTAGATCAGGTCGACCAGCAGCTCGTTGCAGACGCTGCAGATGAAGCAGGGAGGGTGCCAGCAGACGCCGTGCCCAGCTCGCGAGGCGAAGACGGCCATGTCCCCTCCGTTGATCTGGCCGCCGCACTGCCAGAAAAGCCGGTGTTTAACGGGGGCCAGCGAGCCCGCTGCTGGCCAGCTGCTTTCGCAACCGCCGCAGAAGGTGGTGCTAATTCCCAGTTCCTTTCTGCCATCTCTTAATCTCTTTTCAGCCCCATTTTGCGGCCAGGATATCAACAGCTTCCCCCCTGCAGGAGGCCAGGGGCCATCAAATATTGCAGGGTGCTCTTGGCACATGGCCCGACGGACCCCAGAGGGGCACGGGGCAGATGCTGCTCCCACGAGCATCACTTAACTCTGGTGATTAAAAAGCCACCCGGCTCATGCCAGTTCATCAGCTGCTACCCACCTGCTCGCAGATGGCTCCCGTCATGGTTACGGGGAACGGCCGGACATTGCCTCTCCCTAAATTTTCCCTCTTCCTTTGGTTGCTGAAGAGTTTGAGCTCCCTCTTCTCCTCCTCATCCAACGAATTGCAGTAGCGGACCTAAAAAACACAAGCGATGCTTGGTGCTAGGGGTGACCCTGGCTCCCCGGCCAGCAAACCACAGTTCCACAGGCTCTGCAAACCCCAGCACGGGAGTTACCCAAATGGACCCCGTCCTTGGTTCGGGAGGCTGGAGAAACGCAGCTGTCTGAGCTTCACTCAGCCCAGCGTTCGGCCAAAATTTCGAGAGGCAGAGAGGAGAAGAAAGGGCAGGTGGAAGGTTTCTCTTCAGGTGCTAGCTTCTAGGAACGTCTTAAAAGTTGGGTCCTCTGAGTCTCATCCAGACCCAGCAATCAGCCTGATGGTTCTCCTGCTTCCTCCTTATGGTAGAGGTCTCACAGGAGCTTCAAAATGTTTATTGGCATTTCTAGAGCGCAGCCAGTTGTGTAAATGAGGGAGATCCAGCTATTTGGGAACTCTAACTATTCTTCCAGCATAGGGTCAAGTTTGCGTATTTGCAAAACCTCTGAGCTGGAAGGTAATAAGGAAATAAGTAAAACAAAAGGATATAAACAAAGAATGATGCCATTTCCCCAAATCTTATGAAACCGTGAGGTTTTCCTGTCTATTGCCATCCTGCAGGCTTAGCTCTTGGCTGATTGCATCTCAATGGAGAACATGTCCGAAGAGCCAAGGTGGCCATGTGTAGCACCAATGCCCAATCCAGCCTCCGTTACTTTGGTGAGCGGGCTCGTGGAGCCCAGCAGGATTATTCACGTGAGCAGCCAACACATCTTGAATCTTCAAAGAGGCAAAACTGAGCACGAGGGGAAAGCGGATGCAAAAATCTGCCAGTTTGCAGCAAATACACGCAGGCTCGTGCCTCCAGCTCGCAGAAGCAGCATTTGTATGCATTTATTCCTGCGTTCTTCAGCTGTCGGAGGCTGTGGGTTTTCAGGGGCTGCCAGGGAAGGCAGGCGGGCAGGTTGGGGCCCGAGGGTGCTCAGGAAGAAGCCCCTGCCCGGTGCCTGGAGCTCCCCCGGTGCTGGCAGCACCGCGCTGTGCCCGTGGCACCCAGCCACGCGCAGGCAAACTTGTTAAAATCTGACCTAGATCAAACAAGTTACCTGCATGTATTTTCCAAAGCGGCTTCTTCAGAAAGCAGCGTGAAAGTAATTTTTTTTGTTGTTGTTGTTGTTTACACAGGGAAATTTTGCGGGCTACCAGAAGCCAATGTTCCCACTGGTGAGAACAGGACGTCAAAGACCGGACCCCTTTTTGCTGCCTCACATCTTTCTTGCAAGACGTAAGAAGGTTTATTTGCTCTGACTGGTCTTGCCAGGCTGTCCCAGCTCGCGAGGCTCAGCCCGAGTGAAACCCCTCCTCGGCACCCACACTCCCACGGTGAGTCGGAAGCAGCGCTGGGGAAAAAAAGCTTTTGCAACTTCGGATCTGGCTCTAGCTGATCTCGACAGCATTTCACGCCACTTTTAACGCGGCTTTGGCCTCTGAGAGCTGAGAAAGTGCTTTTATTTCAGAGAAATGAAGGAAGATGATTTTTAAAATGTTAACTTTAGGAACAAACAACTCCCTCCCCACCTCCAACACAATCCAAGCAGGGGGCAAATAAGCAACTTATATAGCAACATGACCAAACTCCAAGTAAATCCCCCCAAAAAGTAGAAAGGGCTGAGAAAGGACCAGCCATGCTTCCAACAAGAACAACCCCAGGAGGTGCATCCCCTCCCCACGGGCAGCCCTGATGGGTGGATATCCGAGGACACTTTTCGGTTACTAACCTCATTGTCGTGTGGCGGCAGCTGATGCAAAAGCTGCTTTATGCGAGACTTTTCTCCCGGGCTGTTGACGTAGGGGACCTTGTCCTCGGGCAGGCAGCTGTAGTACTGGTGCACCTACGGAGCAAGAGAGGGGACTGCAGTGGGGGTCTACAGCCAAGCCTGTGCCCGGCCACGAGCCACCCCCCGAGCCAGCGGCCGTTGGGTCTTCCCGCGGATTTTGAGCTGGGAAACGCAGCCAGGTGCCGCTTTTGGGTTTATTGCCTTTTCTCCATGGAGAAAGAGGGGTGGCAGCCCCGGCGAGGTGGCGGAGCTCGTTACCGTTTGCTCGGTCAGCCTCCATAGCGTTAGCATGTTTCGCCGGCTGCGGGGATGTGTCGGCACCTGCCTCGGCAGGGGAGGTTAAAAAGGCTGCGCCCCGGCAGCCTCCGTGTTGCCGGCTATCTCAGCCTCCACCTCCATCAAAACCCTCCGGGCTTTTTTCTGCAGCAATTTGTGGAAATAAACAGCAGATAAAAATCTGTTGGAAGGCTTGTTTTTTTTTTTTTTTTTTTCCTCTTTCGTCTCAGAGTGTATAATTAAAATCAGGTATTAAAAAGGCAGCTCGGTGGGGCACGGCGTGCCCCGGCGCTGGAGCAGCCCGGTGGCAGCCTGGAGAGGAAGCACACCCCGAACCCCAGCGTCTCTCCTCCGACTGCCACACCTGGGACGTGTACTCAAGGGCCGGGTCAGGCACTGGGATGGGGTTCCCCGGCTGAGGATCAGCTCCGAAATGGCCACGGTGATGCTGAAGAGCTTGGGAAGAAGCAGGAGAATGGAAAGGTAAGGGAAGGCTCGGCTGGGATCGGGAGTCTCTGCAGCCCTGGATGCCTCCGGATGCTCAGGTAGGAGCAGAGGGCTGGACGGATTCCTTAAATCTGCGCTTGGCTAGACAGATGCGAACTGTTTTCCTGGTGCATAACAACTTTCTGCCTTTGCCGCGGTGGGATTAACCCCCTGAGATGCTCCCTCGGCTCCCAGACACTGCGGTAATTCATTTCAGAGCGGCTGCACTGCCGGCAGCTTTCGCAGGGCTTTTCCCACACGACCCTTGCTTCGCAATGGCTCCTGATCAGCTTTTTCCCTCACTGTACGTTTTGGGCTTTGGCCTAGAAAACACCACCTGGGCTGGCTGCCCCCAGAGGAGCCCCCTCTGCCCGCACAACCCCTCAGCATCTGTGGGATGACAAGGTACCGTGGGTGACCGGGAAGGATGGGGAGGCGGAGGCAGGTCACAGGGCTGGCTGGCAGAGGAGCTCGCCCACGGGCTCACAGGCTGCCAGGGGTGGCTCATACAGGGAGTGACCTTCAACAGGAAGAAATGACTTTTTATTCCAGAATAAATATCCAAACCCGGCATTATTCAGGCATAATTAGTCTGCATTCAGCTCACTCCCTGGTCTCATTCAGAGCTACCTGCAAGCAGAGCTGCTCCAGTGCTTGCAATCGCTTTTCTTCTCAATTTGTGGTTCCGACCCTAACATCCACCTTTCCCCATCATCGGGTTTTGTGGAAAGGGAGATTTTTTAGCAGATTTCCACCCGTAACTGCAGCACTGATGATAAGGGAACCACTTGGGTCATGAAGCTGAGGAACACGCTGAGCGTATGCCACTGCAAAACCCTGAATTTGTTTTGCTAAGGCATGGCAGAAACAGACCCACCAGCTATGGAAACTGTCAAAGAAAGAAAGGCTGCTAAGGATTTTGTTATGTTAAAAAGAAAACAAACTACATACATTAGAATACTTACTTTGCATTTATAGAGCATCCTTCACCCAGGGACATCAAAGCACATTAAAAACACTTAAATTCTTACGGCTACACGAGGTAGCAAAAGGAAAGGACTATTTGCAGCATAACGATGTTAAATGAGCTCCCTGAGTTCACGCAGCTAGTCTGTAGCAGAGGTCGCAGCTGAAAATCTCCTGGCGATGCTGTGGCTGCCATACCTTCCACCCGGCTGCCATGCTACCGCACTGCCACGCTGCGCCTTCCCGGCCGGTACCGACGCCTGCTGACTTCTCTCAGCCAAATTCCCCATGTGCGGACCGCTTGCTCGCTTTTCCCCTGTGCTCAGGTTGTTGGTTTGTGTATTTATTTCTTGCAATTAAGTTCTTTTTGCCCACTGCATCCTTGAAGCTGGCGGAGACCAGAAATGACTTTTTTGTTTGGTTTTTTTTTTTTGGAAGAGCCACCAAATTTCATCAGGCTGCTCCAGTCCCCAAAGCAATGAGCTGTGAGACGCTCACCCTGGGTGAAAAGCAGGGATGAGAGTTCTTCCTTCAGCAACGTGGGCGCTGCCTTCCCAGAGCCCGAAGCGGCAGGACTTACGTGCCCAGCTCCATCCCTGCTTCCGCTGGGAAGTTTTCCATTGAGTCTCAGCAGGTCCGCGGGAACTGGCTCCCATTACACCAGCAACATAGCTCGGGAGGGATGGGCAATTTGGTTTGAAAAGCAAAACAAAATAAATATAACAGGCTCCAACCTGTGTTCTGCTGCCTGAAATAACCCGAAAGGGTTTGCTTTCGATCCGCATCAGCCAAGGGGACCTTCTGCACTGGTGCTTATGGAGGGGATGGAGTGGAGGCAGCTGCCAGTCATTGCCCAGAACCTGCAGGACATCTCGTGGTGACAAAACCCCTTCCTTACACCCATCGGTGGCTTCCTCTGTTGTTGCCTTTACACCCACCATCCCTCCTGGGAACAAACCTGAACCAGGGGGATGCACCAATCCTTTCACCTGGGGCATCACTCCTACCCCGAGAGGTCCAGCCAGAGTGCAGGTGCAGAGCAGAAGGATGCCCCTTCCTCGGGCTGATGTAAATCCAGGTTTGTGTAAATACAGTCCTTCATCCATCGCCCATTCCCCATGGGATGCGCCTGGTTCCCCGCATGGCAGAGCCGAGCCTGGGAGGGATGAGGCGCAGACTGCCACCGTCCCCTGCCTCTGCGCCCACCCGCAGCCTCTCCAACCCCGCAAGCGAGCGGCCGGCGGTTGGGCTGGCACAGCCTGCTCAGGATGTTCAAGAACAAGGAAAAATAAAGAAGGAAAGGGGGGATTCTCCGATCAATGCAGCTTTTCACGGGAAAGGCCTGCAGAATATGTTAACTCACCAGAAAACTAAAACTGCTTGGTCTGCACTTTGCTTTTGTACAAAAGGTCGCTGTTTTCCATGAAAATAACTCCTCCTCCATCCAGCTCCGGTTCAGAGCATGCACAAGTCTTTATAGCTAGTGAGCCTTGCAGGACCACTGTGGCCAAGGGGCCTGATCCAGACCCCCCAAGCCCCAGCAGACAGCTCCTCACTGACCTTACGGGCTCTGCAACATGGGCTGCATCCACATAAGGAAAACAGTGTGTGGCAACGATCCAGGACGGGTAACATATCCCTTTTAAATCATGTGCTATCTTTAACTGTTTTATTATTAAATAGTTCTGCCGTACAACACAGCAGCTCCCCATCCTGCTATTTCCCCTTGCAACAGATCTGCTCTGGCCACGATTATCCTAAAAAGCATCACAACACGTGAGAGCCCCGTGTGGGGCTTGTTTTCATCCTCAGTTGCCCCGCTTGCCCCTCTTCACTGTGACCTCTGCAAACATCTGGATGGGAGAAACTTTGGAGGAACCTGGAAAACATCAGGCTGAGTTAAAGTCAGACTGCAGACAATGTCACGAGGCCCTGATGCCACGGGGACGGGCTGGTCGGAGCGCTGGAAGCCAGGCTGGCTGCGGGTGCCGGGTGCGGTGGCACGCTGGCCAGCCGGGCAAGCCCCGTCCTGCCCTGGGGAGGTCTCCCAGGCGCTCGGACGGGCTCTGTGCCGCGAGAACCCGGCACAGCAGATGATAGCCATCTTCCCAGGGTGTTATTCTCACCTTCAAAAACAAAAATGTCCAAACGCCAAGTTTTGCTAAGGAAAAATGATCCGCATTTTGGAAATGATCAGCTGCTTGGAGCGAAAAGGGGAGGGCACGGGTAGGGGAGGAAAGATAGAAATTAAAAAAAGAAAGAAACCAGGAGAAAGGAAAGAACATAATGTAAAACAAGGGTAGGAAAAAGCCTTTAAAGTGGAGCCAACTTTATTCAAAGGCACTGAGGAAAGTAATTACATTAGTTTACAAATGCCTTTGTGTTCTGCAGTCTTCCTAGGTTTGGGGTGTGTTTCCAGTTTAACTTTGACAGTTTACAAACCTACCCTGTTCCTGCTAAACAAAGGCAGGATTGCAGCTTCTCCTGGCAGTCCCAGGGGTGACCAAAGACAAAACCCATGCCAGCGGCTTTGTGGGCAAATTCTACCACCTTCTAGAAGGAAAAGTTTGCAAACAACCTGTGAATTTAAGCCATTGATGAAGGATCTCTTTGATCAATTAATTAAAGGAGGCAGAGGGGAAATACTGTGTTTCTTATGCCACGAGTTGCTGTTGGGAAGCAGCATTCAGTCGTACTTGCCCCAAGTACAACACCCCTACTGAAAGCACCCACCAAACCGGGCTGTTTGGGATGACTGTACCGCTGGGATGGACTACAAAGAAGCACGCGGTGTCCTGGCGCGGCGCGGCTGATGGGTGCCGACTTGCTTAGCCGTAACAGCTCCGGCGCATCCAGCTGGGCAATCCCGCCTGGCTTCCAGGAAACTAAACAAACTGCAAACCAGCTGAAAGGCTTTTGTGAAGAGCTCTGCGAGGGCAGTACGTGCTGGCCTGTGTGCAGCACAGCACCTGAACACGGATGTCCCCAAAAAGGGGACCTCGGTGGGTCAGCCACCGCTCAAGCATGGCACAGTACATCAGCACAGGCAGTGGAGTCTGTTCAAAATCCAGGCACACCGACATTCTCCGACATCCCACCCCGTGCCCAGGAGAGCATCATTTCCCCTGAGACCGTGTCGGGGATCCCACAGCCCCAGCAGTCCACCCTGTGCCACCGGGGGATGTCCCACGCTGGCACAGAGAGCTGCAGTGATGTGCAGAGCGGTGGCTGCTGCTGTGTGTGTGTGTGCACTCACACGTGTGCGAGCATCCCCCCCGCTCGCTGCGCACGAGCTCCCACGAGCTTTGGCTTTGGCTGCAGCGAGA